TTACCAAAGCCTATTGGACTCGTGGACCCCTCACGTCGCCTATCGATGGGTTTGTCTCACCAATTGGTTCCCAAACCACACATATATCACCATTTCTTAGTTGATTCAAATGTCCAATTAATGTGTTATCTTTTAATAGACTGTTAAATATCTCTTCTAAAACAGTATCTCTAAACTGAGCCACAATTGTACTCATGAGCCCTGAACAGTGTATATAATCTCCAAAATTCAAGTGCCCTTTGACTGAATCATTGATTTGTTTATTTTGTTAATTGATATTTGAGTTCACTTTGAATGGGCTTTAAATTTCATTGTAATTGTTTGCTAAACTATGTGTGCATTTAACAGGTATTCACATTTGTAGTCTTCATTGCATTCATGGGTCGAGTGTTTATATATCAAGTCTGTGAACCACTGTTTCGTTAATGATATGAAGTTTTTAATGATTTGTTGTGTAATTGAATGTCTGTAGGGATGGTATATAATAACGTATGCGTTGGGAATATATTACTTAAATATGTTGATCGCGTTCTTAACGCCGAAAATAGATCCCGCCGTTTATGACGACTTCGAAGGTGAAGGTGACCACACTTTCACCACTATTATCGTTACACATTTGTCTGACACTTGTTTTACCACTTCTAGATGAGGGGCCGTCTCTGCCTACCAGTGCTAATGAAGAGTTTAGACCATTTATTAGACGTTTGCCAGAATTCAAATTTTGGTAATTAATTATGAATACTATGATAACGCTATGCAATTGTCATTGAATGTTGTTTGTCTCATAATAAAGGCATACCTCAACAAAAGCTACATTAATAGCACTGTTTTGTACAATGTTTGAAGCGTTCAATATTCCCGTCTTTTGGCCCATCCTTTTGCTTTACTTCATCACATTATTCGGCATTACTATGAAGAGACAGATCAAAGTAAGCACTCATACACTCATGAGTGGTATCACTCGTGATCTGTTGCTAATGGTATGGTTGTATGTTTGCAGCACATGATTAAGTATCGATACCTTCCGTGGACTCATGGAAAGACCAAATACCAGGGAAAGGAAGACTCGGGAAAAGTCTAT